AGAGAGAGTGAGAGGGGAGAGAGAGAATTTTTAAATATTTATTGTTTAGTTTTCGGCGGACACAACATCTTTGTTTGTATGTGGTGCTGAGGATCAAACCCGGGCCGCACGCATGCCAGGCAAGTGTGCTACCACTTGAGTCACATCCCCAAGCCCCTGAAAGGTATTTTTCAGAACCACAAATATATAAGATCATGTATTTACATGGTCAGAAGTTAATTTCCCAAAACCATCCATATTATAACCATCCTTCACAAGAACATCTGTATCATTCATATTAGTGTTAATTATAATTTACCTAGAGATGAAGAGTTGATAAAGCACTGTGCTCTACATCAGCTCATTTTGTTACAGAGCTGAGGCCTTCTGGAAACTGAGGCAGCATGAAGAACTCCTCTTCAAACCCTGATTCTTATGATCGATGGAGTCAGAAATATTTTAGACATGTTGCTCAGAATAACAAGAATGAGTTCATTCAAAGGAAAGGAAAAGGTAAAGGAGACACTCTCAAGACAGAGTGGGTCCTCTCAGAGAGGAGACAATGTGCCACTTGTGCAGTCCAGTTTTATTGGTGATCCCAGAAAGTCCTGCCCAGGTCCACCTCTTAACTTTTGACTAAAGGCAGAGTGACAGACTTTCAAGTCCCCATTGCAGTGACAACTCTATGCCACCTTGGCCCATGCTGACTGGTTCCAATTGGATTCTTTTTACAGGTTTCATGATTAGGAGGAATTATGCTTATCTTCCAGACTGGTCTGTGAAAAGGGTACTCTTATTGTTGCTGAAAGCTCGGGTCTTTGTCCCCAATGCCAATTAATGCCAATTTAATAAGGATAAAGTTTTGAGAAAAAGGAAAAAGTTGTTTTATTGCTTTGCTAGCAAAGGAGAAACAGAGGGGGCTCCTGTCCTTGAGCCTGTGAAGGGCTTGAGACAGGAAAAGGTGTTTTTAGAGTCCCTTGTCCAGTTGGAGTTGGTCAGGGGAGTTGCTGAACGCCAGGACTGGCCAGGGGTCTCGCTGATTGACATCAGGAGGAGCAGGGAGATTTTAAAGGAGCTCTTCAAAGGCTACATTCCAGGCTTGCCCTGACAGTGGGGTCCCTGAGCACCCTGATGATGTGCTAGGATTCACTTGTTAATTTGGAAGATAAGCATAATTCCTAGATCCTCTGGCAGATATCTCCTTCCTGTGGAGCACAGATAACTCAGGGTAATCTTGTTCCTTACCCCGAGGTTAGGAAGGGGGAGAGGGAGAAAAGGAGAAGGAAAACACGTCCCTTTTAAAAATAAGCCTCAGAATTATATTCAAAAGGTGAAGTGGACCACTGTTACTTTATCAAGGCTATTTCCTGCCTTTATTTCCATGTGGATAACAGGTAATTTGCTGAGCAATGTGGCATATCCTGTCCACTTAGGCCAGGCAAAGCGGCAGGTAAATTGCTTTTTGGCAAAGAAAGCATATTGGGGTTAGCATAGTGGGCCCATTTTATAGAATTATTCTCTTAACCTTGTGTTTCCACCATCCTAATTTGTCTGTCCCTTAACAATTTGAGCTTCATGGGAATCCTGCAGGTAACTCAGTAATCTTTCAATTCTACAAACTAGGAAACTGTTCAGAGTGTAAGTCACATACACATATAGATTCAAATATGACTTCTTTCATATGCTGGGTTCTTTCCCAGAACCAAGGAAACCTTGGTAAACCTAGTGAGTTAAAACTTCCCTGGTGCTTTTTAATACAGTTTTTAAATTGTTTATTGGCAGTGTTGGGGATTGAATCCAGGGCCTTACATATGCTAGGCAAGTGCTCTACCACTGAACTACACCCCCAGCTCTTTTATTTTATTTCAAGAACTTGCAATCCTCCTGCCTCAGCCTTCAGAGTAGCTGGGATTACAGGCATGTACCACCATGCCCAGCTAATACAATTTTATTTTACTTATTTATTTTTTTGGTACCAGGAATTGAACTCAGGGAAATCAACTACTGAGTCACATCCCCAGATCTTTTTGTATTTTATTTAGAGATAGAGTCTCACTGAGTTGCTCAGGGTCTCACTAAATTGCTGAGGCTGGCTTTGAACTCAGGATCCCCCTGCCTCAGCCTCCTGAGCCACTAGGATTACAGGCATGCGCCACCATGCATGGCCAATTTTTTCAATAGAATGAAATAGGAAATAGAAAAGCCTAAACCTCAGTATGTATGAAAGTCAATGTAAATGAAAGCAAACATGCATAAATGTACTTGATCACCACGTAAAATGTAATTTCTTCCTGTAGGTATGAGTCAAAAATATTTGACCATCGCTAACCATGCATCTAACCCCACTTTTGCTTTTACTTACTGTGAAATTTTTTAAAAGTCATTTCACAGATTTATTCCTTTATAAAGCAGGGATATAAATAAGTTTCTCTACTTTCTAGGAGGCTTTTGAAAATCAAATGAGATAAAATATGTGGAAAAAACTTTGGAAACTATTCTCTCAATATGACTTTGTACTTTTAAAACTTGATCTGAAGAGTATATGAAAAAGTTGACAAAGATATTAAAAAATTAAATTGTAGATGTTAAGATCAGGCAAGGCGGGCAGCAACCAAAGGAGGCAGATTTAAAAAGGCCGCCGAAGGAGGCTTTATTGAGACTCACTCCTGGGCGGAACTCGATCAGACCAACAGAGTGGACAGGGGAAGGGTCTAAGGAGAAATTGCGTGGAAGCTTGACCGGACTGGACTTTTATGGGCTACAGCAGGAAGGGAAGGGCTTGGGACAGGATAAGGTGTTTTTAGAGTCCCTTGTCCCGTTGAGTTGGTCAGGGGAGTTGGCTGAGCACCAGGACTGGCAAGGGGTTCTGCTGATTGACAGGCATTAGTCAGGAGATCCTGCTGATTGACAGGCATTTCTTTCAGCGCCTGATTGATGTTTCTTTTCCATGGTGGCTGCTTTGTTCTAAGTCACTGCCACCAACCTAACAGTAGATATCAGAATTGGTGGGACTGTTACTATCCCTTAATCTGCATCCCCATCTAAGTAAGAAGAAGTGGATATGAGCTATTTGTGAATTTCAATTTTCTGTGATCATTCATTACCCACAAAAGTCTCCTCTACAAAAGTAGAGCATCTTACCCAAGGCCCAAATTCAATTAGTGTCAAGAACTGGATTGAAAAAAACAAATGCAAATAACAGAAAGCTATTAAGCTCTTACTGCATACAAGCCTTACTTACACATTCTCTTTAGAGAATATATATATCCTACTCACTAGGATATATTTAGTTTTTAATTAATTTTTCTTTCTTCTTTTTTTTTTTCCTTTTTTTTTTTTTTTGGTACTGGAGATTGAACCCATGAGTGCTTTGCCACCGGAAACACTTTAATTTTTTTTATTTTGAGAAAGGTCTCACTAAGTAGCTCAGGGTCTTGCCAAATTGCTGAGGATAACCTCAAATTTGTAATCCACCTGCCTCCTTTTCCCCAGTCACTGGGATTATAGGCTTGGCAGGGAGTCCGGCTGTTTTTAATTTTAAATTGTAATGTCAGATTCGTGGGACCCCAATAGACCTTCAGGAGCTGAATCCAATGTAATCACACAAGAGTCTTTATTGCAAGCTGGAGCCTGGACTCAAAACCGTTTCCAATGCAGGGATCCAAGGGAGTGAGTCCTGGCCCTTTGTTCAGTGAGATTTCGTAGGATTTGGGGGGATACTCTATGTGTCACAACATCACACAGCAAATCATCACACACCGTGGGAAAATCTAACAAAAACTCTTAACATTGATTAGCACATTTACTTGCTGGAACAAGTTGGGTAGGGGTGATTGGTTAGTACAAGAGGGGGATTCCTTTGAATTGATTGGTTTAGGCTGAGGGGTGTAAGTGCTGAACTACATGGTTTCCCAACATGTTATCAACCACCATAAACTACAGGGGGGGTCATCTGACATCCCAGGTATTTTCCCTGTCTAATGCTGATTGGAGGTTGGTAGGGGGTTGCTATGGGTCCTCACCTACCTTAAATGAGTCAGGGACACCTGGTGATACAGATCTCTCCTGTTATTTACAGACCATCAACTCAACAGGGTGGGTATGTGCCTGGGAGTGCTCTGTGGGTTTTTTCCAGGACCAGGGTCACGCCCCCTTCCTTAGAACAGGCCTTGAGGTAGAAGCTGCTGTTATTTATTTATTTTCAAAAATGGATCAGTTTCTCAAAATCACCAGTTAACATATGGAATAGTCATATATATATATATATATATATATATATATATATATATAGGAACCAAAATTACGTAGGCAATCTTCAGCTAAAATTATAATTATATTCTTCCTATTTTATTATGCATTTTGGACACAACAATTAATCTAGGTAAAGATACAATTACTACCGCCAAGTAAATATTTTGTTGTTGTTTCCAAATAATAATGGGTCAAGTGGAAAATGGTTAGTCAAATAAATATATTGTTTTTTCTTAGGGAAATGGTCCCCTTTAATATGATAAAATACTTTCCTAAAACTTGATTATGGCTGTCCTTGAAAGGACAGTTTCCTCTGTCTTAATTCAGACTAAATGTGTTGTAGAGTCACTTCTAGGTCAGAAGCAGGACGCCGTCCTTTAACCTATAATTCTACATTTACATCCCTTATCTAGTGTTAAACAACTGTCAACTTCCAAAGAAGCATCGCTGGCAAACACATTTATTTATTTATATTTTTAACAGCCTAGATTTACCAAACTTAATCAAATTTAGGAAAACACGGAGGCAACTAAGCCTCCACGGTGGAAGGTCCGCGCAGGAGACAGGGAGAAAGTGGATAAAAGGCTGCGGCCGACGCAGGCTGCATAGTTGGTTGGTGCCCTGCGGCTGAGAACTAGGAAGCTCTGCTTGGTGTGGACCAGGTCCCTCCCAGATTTCTGAGCCAGCGAGCTGCCGCTCCGCACTGCAGCCCGAGCCAATTGCAAAAAACCTAACAAAGCCCAGCCCAGCGGAAGGAACGGTTTCAGGGTTGTTTTCTTTGGTAAAGGAGCTCTTCCTTGTTCTAGCTTTTACTCCGATCTTTGACCACTCAGCTTTCCAAAGCCGTTTAGACTGTTTGGTTAAAAAAATAAAAAATAAAAAAAAATAACCAAAGCTCACAGCAACAGAAAAAGATGAATTTCCTTGTGGAGGTAGTCCTGCTTCTGCCCTTACTGTTCATTTTCTATTTAGAATCTTTTGTCAAGCTTTTTATTCCTAAAAAAAGAAAATCAGTCACCGGAGAAATCGTCCTGATTACCGGAGCTGGACATGGAATTGGGAGGCTGACTGCCTATGAATTTGCCAAACTTAAAAGCAAACTGGTTCTCTGGGATATCAATAAGGTAATAGTGCTTACTATGTTTTCCTTTCTGGTACCTTTAATCTGTGGACATGGCTACATTTTGCTGGCAAACACCTTTACAACATCTCTGTAAAGAAGATGGAAAAAAACTTACCATTGCCATTTTACAGACGGGAGGGGCATAAATTAATATGTTTATGATCCCAGGATGAATACCTAGAGGATATGATTTTCAGTTACCTCCCATGGCTAAATGAGTGTTGTAAATGGATCTTCACTTTTTGCCCTGAAAATCATTTGTGATCTTCTTCTGAACTTGATTTCACTGATCTTAAATCTTAGTCATATAGAAAAAGTATTAGGGTATTAAAAGATTAAGAAGCTTGTACCTATTGCATCCTATTTGCAGTTACTGAGGTAAATGAATTAAAAGATTATATCCACCATAAAGCAACATTACTATAGTTATTGACAAGAGTAATGTTTAGAATAATCTTTAACCAAAACAATAAAAAGGAAAAAAAAGTATTCCAAAGTATTTTTTTTTTTTTTTTTTTTTACCCAGGACAAGTGTAAGCATGAGCTTAGGGAAGAAAAGAGGACCCAAAAGTCTTTCTAGAAGGCAACTGGTGGTCAGAAACACCATCCTCAGGAGACTAAGGCAGAAGGATAGCAGGTTCAAAGCCAGCCTCAGCAAAAGTGAGGCACCAAGCAACTCAGTGACACCCTGTCTCTAAATTAAATACAAAATAGGGCTGGGGATGTGGCTCTGTGTTCTAGTGCCCTGAGTGCCCAGGCTCGTTTCTGGTACCCCATCCCCCCAAAAAGAAAAAAAAAAAAAAACAGAAAGAAAAAAAATGGAGACAATTAAGACCAGAAGATGCTGAGAAAACAGTCAACCCTCTGCTCTCTTTGTAAAGGGAGATCAGCAAATGCAAAGCCTGGGACAGAGTGAGGGAAGTAAAAGACGTAGATCTCAGCTGTCAAGTAGGAGACTAGGTCATAGCTACCAGCCCCTTGTGGCTGTTGAGCATTTGAAATATGGCTATTTCTGAATTGAAATGTGCTGTGGATGGAAGTAACCCATTTGATTTTAAGGATTTGGTGTGAAAAACAATGTAGTCATTTTTATATGTTGAAATGATAATAATATGGATATATTGGGCTAAATGGAAGATCAGTTGAACAATTTGTCCCTGGGTCAAATCCCACAACCTTGTGAGTTACAGAAACTACTTATCAACAAGCTCTTGGGCTTTTAGATATTGTTGGAACTGGTTCTGACCAAACTTTGCTGCCTGTTTTGTAATGCATAGTTCTGCCTGGTTTAACCCTTACTGATTCATGACCTGAGTTTGAATTCCACATTCAGCCTCTCCTTCCTGCATGTTCAGATTAAGCACAATGATACCAACTTTTCATTTTGTGTCATTTCTTGGGATGCATACCCAAAACATTAAGTCCCACTGGAACAAAAGTAAAACAAAGTATAAGACCACGAGAGGAGTTTATCATGAAGTGTTTGACTCATATTTGGCTAAATTATATGATGCAATCCATTTGGAAATAATGCCTTTAATTCTCCTTTACTGTATGTTTCAGAGCAATTCCTTGTTAACTGATCTGATGTTTTCTTTTACTGAATCTATTAGAACAATTTTCTGTTAATTAGTATGATGTTGACTTTTGGCTTTAGTACGCTTTAGTACAACTATTCAGGGAGAATTCTTCAACAGAAGGCATCTGAGAGACAAATTGTTCAATTGATCCAAATAAATATACTGGTAAGTTAAATTTTATTTTTGTATCATGCTTGTTGAAATATTAAAATCACATTCATGGCTCCCATTATATCTATGGGACATGCTGTTCTAGAGATGGAAGGACAGTAGCTTCAGGTCATAAAGTTTCCTGGAAACTATTGTGTACATTTTGGTTTTACTCTGGGAAGGCGGTAGAAGGTGTTGAGCCAATTTCTGTTGAAGAGGATTCTCCAGCCACAGGATTAAAAGAATGAGGAGGAAAAGAAATAAAAAGAGCAAGTGAAGCAGGAAAGTAGCTAAGACAGTATTTTGACAATCCAATATGATGGAGGCTTGTCAGATCTGGCTAATAGTAGCAGAATTTGTGACAAGTGGTCGGAAAAACTAGGGACAATGTAATGAGGGTTTTTTGTTTGTTTTTTGCTTTTTTTTTTTTTTTTTTAGGTGAAATTAGTTTAAATAATTAACCTTTTATTTTGAGATTTTCTTGGCCCCCCCCCTTTTTTTTTCATCTGCTGACATAAATGTTCATATCATTTGTTATTTTGTTCTCTTGCCTTTTTCTTGCTTTTTCTAGCATGGCATAGAGGAAACGGCAGCTGAATGCAGAAAACTGGGTGCCCAGGCTTATTCCTTTGTAGTAGACTGCAGTAACCGAGAAGATGTTTATAACTCTGCAAACAAGGTAAAATTTTATATTTAGTTAGAAGCACACCATGTTAGAGCTAGGAGGTATTTTGGAGATGATACTGACAAGGTAACTGAGAAATACTATAATTTTTCCAATGCTATGCAGTTGGCTAGACCCAGAATTAGTCTCTAGACCTGATATTCACAGATGTTAGTATGTTGCAGAGCCTTCCAGGGAGCTTGTTAAAAATATACATCCTTATAATTAATAAATGGGATGGATTCAAACTAAAAAGCTTCTTCTCAGCAAAGGAAACAATCAATAATGTGAAGAGAGAGCCCACAGAGTGGGAGAACATCTTTACTACATGCATATCAGATAGAGTACTAATTTCGAGGATATATAAAGAACTCAAAAAACTTAACACCAAAAAAAATAAATAACCAAGTCAATATATGGGCTAAGGAACTGAACAGATACTTCTCAGAAGAAGAAATACAATTGATCAACAAATACAAGAAAAAATGTTCAATGTATCTAGTAATTAGAGAAATGCAAATCAAAACTACTCTTTTTTTACACTCTTAAAACCTATTTTTATTATAATTAGTGCATATTAGTTGCAAAAACTACTCTTAGATTTCATCTCACTCCAGTCAGAATGGTAGTTATCAAGAATACAAACAACAACAAGTGTTGGTGAGGATGTGAGGGAAAAGGTACACTCATACATTACTGGTGGCACTGCAAATTGGTGTAACCAATATGGAAAGCAGTATGGAGATTCCTTAGAAAACTTAGAATGGAACCACCATTTGACCTAGCTATCCTACTCCTCGGTCTATACCGAAAGGACTTAAAATCAACATACCATAGTGATGCAGCCTCATCAATGCTTATAGCAGCTCAATTCACAAGAGCTAAACTGTGGAACCAACCTATATGCCCTTCAATAGATGAATGGATAAAGAAATGATGGTATATATACACAATGGAATATTACTCAGCATTAAAAGACGAGAAAATTATGGCATTTGCAGGTAAATGGATAGAGTTGGAGAATATTATGGTAAGCGAAGTAAGCCAGTCCCCAAAAAAACAGAGGCCGAATGTTCTCTCTGATAAGTGAATGCTGACCCATAATGGGGGTGGTGGTGGTGGTAAGAATGGAGGAACTTTGATTAGGCAAAGAGGGGGCAGAGAGGGGGGATGTGTGCAGGACAGAGGATAGAATGAGATGGACATCATTACCCTAGGTACATGTATGACTGCACATATGGTGTGACACTACATTGTATATAATCAGAGAAATGAAAAGTTGTGCTCCATTTGTGTATAATGAATCAAAATGCATTCTGCTATCATATATACCTAATCAGAATAAATAAATAAGTAAATTTTAAAAATATATCTACATCCTTGAGACCGAGCCCCAGAGGTTTTCTTCCACTAGGTCTAGGGCAGGACCCAGGAGACTACATATTGTGTACCCTACACACCCACCTAGTCCATGATTCTTATCAAGGAAGTATCCTTGGATGTCTCCTGAAGCTCTTTTTTAACCCTAAAAAATTGGATTAAAAATCTTGAATAAATAATGATTATCCTTCCCACAGAAGGACATTTTGCATAGTCAAGACCATAGCCTCGGGCTGGGGATGTGGCATGCCTGGGGCCCGGGTTCGATCCTCAGCACCACATACAAACAAAGATGTTGTGTCCGCCAATAACTGAAAAATAAATATTAAAAAAAAAAAAAGACCATAGCCTCTGGAGCTAGACTGGCAGGTTCAAATTCTGGTTTTCCAGTTAATGCCAACTCTATGATTGTGCACACATTTCTTAATCTCTATATCTGATCTGAGTTTACTGACTATAAAATGGGGATTACCGCAGTGCCTACTTCATTTGGTTATTAATGAAAATTAAATGCATTAACAATGCAGAGTACTTAGAGTACTTACAGTAGCTGTCCTAGGACATGATCTATATAATTTTATTGTTAGATATTTCTAGAAGAATCTACTAGCCCAACATCTTTAGTTACCTAAATGGAAAACATTTGTTTCCATATTCATCTTGGACTAGGCTGTTCTGGGAAAAAAATAATTTTATTACTTTAGCCCATTCCAACTATTTTAACTATGGTGTTTTTATTAGAATTGTTCTAAGCCTGTGTGCTTAAACAGAGATTACAAAGGACATATGATCAGACGTTTTGAAGTAGCTAATTAATATAGCAATCTGGGTATTAGGTAATTTGAAATCACTAAATAAACTCTGGACTTGCTTTCTTTATTATGAAATGTGCAAACAAGACAGTCCTATCCAGAAGAGTTAATAGTAATGATGAAAAGAGTCAGGAGAATCAGGGAAATATGATAATGTTTGATAATATGAAATAGAAATTAATATCTTATAACATTATAACAGTTTAATCAGTTCAACAACATAAAACATCCTGGCTTTCTTGATAATTTGGGGGCATCATTCTGAACAGTTTTTAAATTGTTCTAGAGATGTGGACATAGGTACAATTGGTGCTGATCAAGGCCCAAATAACTTAGCTTGACACTTAACTAATTTAAATAAAACCTGATGAGATTTAGTGGTGTGGGGTGAGCCTTCTGCATTGATGGATCTTTGCCTCCATGCTTTCTCTCTGTTTGAGGTATCTTATCTTGGTCTCTGAGATTAGACAGATTTGGGAGCGTCCCAACCCCACCCTTTAATAGTCATGGAAACTTGAGTAAGAAATTCAGTCCTTCTATGTTTCTTTTTTTTTTTTTTTTCTGAGAGAGAGAGAGAGAGAGAGAAGAATTTTAATATTTATTTATTTTTTAGTTTTCGGCGGACACAACATCTTTGTTTGTATGGGTGCTGAGGATCAAACCCAGGCTGCACGCATGCCAGGCGTGTGCACTACCGCTTGAGCCACATCCCCAGTCCAGTCCTTCTATGTTTCTTGTTTCTTATCTTTAAAGTGTACATACAAGARTTGCTGCCTCATAGAATTATTATGAGAATCACATGAGATAAATAATGAAATCATGTTAAATGCATAACAAAGTGAAAACTTCTAATAGGTGTTTTGCTACCACCTTTTYCTCAGACCCAAACACATCATAGCATTTTCTCTAACCATTCATAGAAGCTAGCTTTTATTTGAAACATGTTATATAGCAAAACTCATTATGACTCT